ATTGACACCCCTATATATATATATATATATATATATATATATGTGTGTGTGTGTGTGTGTGTGTGTGTGTGTGTGTGTGTTGAGCTAATTTCAGGCAGATACACAATCTTATTCAACCCCAACTCAAAATCAGCTCAAAGATTGAACTGGGTAAAAATTTTAGCTCATGACTCCATTTGTTTAGTTTCATAAGAGGAAAAAAAATAAAAATTCGAGTAAAAACCAAAGCTGTGCATCCATTTCTACTCAATAAAATGAAGTATTGCGCGTGGCAATGGTGGAGTAAACAAAGAATAAGCACTTTTTGGTAAGTGAAGGTTGATAGAGTTAGAGGATTTTAGGTTTAGGTTATGCAAAAGCATAAATAGGTAGTGGACCTGAAAGCGTGCATATAGAAAGTTTGTGAGTAGCGGAGGTTTCTTGATTTGCACTGAAAGCAACATTTCATGACTTATGATTTAATTTGATTAAGGTTCCAACAAACGAGATGTTCTAATGATGCTAATTGGAAAAGAAAAAGAAAATCATTTACATTCAGACTTCGTTTGAGACGTCTTTTTTATTGCTTTTTAAAACGGAGTTTTAGTAAAAAATAAAAAAAATTGTACTAAAACTCCGTTTTAGAAAGCAATAAAAAAATCGTCCCAAACGAAGCCTAAATCTCTTTATCTAAAAGGTGAAGGTTCGGGTTGTTAAAGTTGAGCTAAATTATGTGAATCATAGTCCTCACATTTCACCCTTTAAACTGAAATCACTATGCTAAATTAGAGCAATAGTTTTATATATATTTAAATGAGGTGATCACTAAAAAGAAATATTTTTAAGAAAATAAATTAAGTCAGATGACAGTGATCAAGAGATGACAAGACAATAATTGTCGGTAGTCAAATGACGATAGCCAAGAGATGACAGCTGGACAATAGCAGTCAAGGGATGACTGTGAGACAAAAGTCAAGTAGAACTCTAGAGTTCAACATATCTTAAAACTCTCTCCCAACTAGGGGTGCAAGCGAGTCGAGTTGAGCTTGAGTCTGGAAAAAATCGCTTGACCCGCGAGCCAAATTCCCAACTCGAACTCAAGTCAAGCTCAAAAGGCAAGCTTGAGCTTGGCTCGTGCCACTGAAAACAAGCTCATGAGCCTTCCGCGATCTGCCAGTCCATCTTCAGTCTTCCGCATTTCGCACGCACAAACACCTGTGCTATATTTTTTGCATGCACAGACGCCTAGGCTTTGTTTTCCACCTGCACTTCCGTCTTTCATGGTTCGCACACATATATGTGCCTTCCAACTCTTCGCCTTCAGCCTTATGCTTTTAAAAGAGCTGCTCGACAAGTAGTCGTTCCGAGCATCATCAGGATCGAACTCGAGCTTGATAATCTAACGACCTCAAAATTCTGCTCGAGCTCAAGGTCGAAACTCAATAAGCTTGGCTCGCAAGCTCATTAACAAGTTGAGCTTGAACCGACTCGGCTCACTTACACCCTTATTCCCAACCCCCTTTCATGTCTAAAATTTTAGAGCACTATGAAAATTTAGCTTAATTTATCAAAATGCATATTTTTGAAAATAATTATAAAAATATATGCTTCTCTTTTTGGCTAGAGTGCAAATTCAAAAATCACGTGCTCTTTTACTGTTTTGTATAATTAATGCTTTGGCAATGCAGCTTATCTTATCAGCATAGGCTTTCCACACAAGATCTTAAATTTGGATTTATGTACATAATTTATGTAAATGTGTCATTAAAATTACTTAAATTAGAAAAAGAAAAAAAATTGGCGAAGGAGGTATTTGAAGAAAGAAATAGACAAACTTTTTTCATTATCTTTTCAAAAGATAAAAAATATTCTGCAAATAGGTGTTTGCTTAAATGCCAAACAACTACAAATGCTGACTCCTGAACCAACATATTTCCAAGGAAAAGAAGGCAGAGAAGCTTTCATTACTCATAAAAATAACCAGCAAATACTTTGCTGCCGCACTTGAAATACATTTTTTTTTGTCAATTGAAATGAAGCTTTGTGACACAATCATGTTGGATCCTCCATTTATAACATCAGCTATTAGGTCATCTCAAATCAAAAATCTCCTTTTTCACTTCAAAATACAGAGAAACTCAAAAATGCCGTGATTATCTCCAATCAAACTTCATTTTGCACGCTTCTGTGAAGGTAACCGTCTTTTCCTCTTTTGCACGTTTCTTCGACAAATCGGGTTGAGACAGAAAATCACGTAAGTGAACAGTGGCCCTGTTCACCCTCCACTGATTAGCAATTTTTTTTTCATTCGAATAGAGCAAACCAACTACGCCTTACAACCATTTGGAATTTGGTTGGAGACACCCTTAACATTGCCACCCACATCCCAATACACCCCCAACCATCATTATCACCATCCCTGTGGTTTCTCATTGTCCATTTGGAACTGCTTTCAAGCTATTTTTCTTTTAAGACATCAATCATAATTTTGCTTAGCTATTATTTTCTCATAATTTTTTTTTTTAATTCTTATGGTAGAAACCAATTATTTTGCGACCAAATTAAGGAAGGTTTTGTTTGAGATACTTTCTAGCCACAATTTTTTCAGTTCTTTCAAAAATTTTTATACTAAAAAATTGCTATAAAAAATAAAAAAATTTATCACAAACAAAACAAATTATTTTCCCCACAACTTTACAATCAATTTTATAAAACTCTGTGGCCATTCAAATAGTTGCTCAATGTCATAGTCCAAAAAAATTCACATAAAAGATATTTTTAATAAAAATGAATAAATAATATATTATTATAAATTTGTTTCATTTAAATAATCAATCAAACACTAAAAAATAATTAAATTAATTTTACAATAAAAAAAAACAATCTTCATTATTCTTAAATACATCATATTTAATTTATAACGTACTTAAAATACATAAAAATTTAAAGAAAATTAAATGAAATAACCCCAAGAAAATCTCTCTCTCTCTACCATTTAAGCATTAAAAAAAAAGTTAATAAAATTAAATGAATTGATTTAAGTTATTGATTATGAGTCAAGATTGGCTTGCTCAACTTGAAGTTAATATATAAAGGAGCTCGTGATACGAAGAAAATTAGTTTGGATGCTGCTGAACATTTATAGTGTTCACAACAAACAACAAAGTAGGCTATGAATTCATTACAGAATCATGTGACAAATTTAACAAAATTTATCCAGACACGGTAACCAGACTTCGAAAGCTGTCTTTATTTCTACACCCTTCTGTTCCAGCCATGGCTGAAGACTCCTGTACAAAATAAGCTCAGGCTCTCGAAAAGGGAGAAATTATTATGACGTCATCCGGAGACCAATCAGAATGAGTCACGTCGGTTCCGTGGCTCGGTACCACAGCTCAGTACACTCGGTATTGTTGACGTGGCTCATTCTGGTTGGTCTCCGGATGTAGAGTTACGTTCGGCATCCGAATAGAATAATTTCTCCCGGAAAGGAGAGTAAATTGAAATGGAAATGGACGGCTAAAGATCATTTGGAAGAGAATCATCCAGAGACCAACCAGAACGAGTCACGTCGGACGTCGGTACCACAGCTCAGTACACTCGGTATTGTTGACGTGGCTCATTCTGGTTGGTCTCCGGATGTAGAGTTACGTTCGGCATCCGAATAGAATAATTTCTCCCGGAAAGGAGAGTAAATTGAAATGGAAATGGACGGCTAAAGATCATTTGGAAGAGAAACCAAGTAACCTTTATCTTCTTTCCTTTCTCATCACTTCACAGCATCAAAAACAAAGCCTGAAGGAAGACCTGCATAACAGAACTATCAAGTTTTTCATGGCTTCAATGAAGATGAAGACAGAGGCTGACAACATTCAGAGATCCTCAGCTAATATTGCACTCAGTAGGATCTGCAGCTGAGCCCTCTTCAGGAGTTGAATCGCTATCAGAATCAGCTTCTGTAGGAGTAGCCTCACGATAAACCAAGGCTTGCCTCCTCTGGAGCGTCAATACATGCATTACAACATCAGGAGATAGTGTGATTCGTGCCCGAACTTCTCTACCTCCTTTGTTAGCTGCCATTATCTGTGTGCGATTTTGAGGAGGGAAAAAGTAAGAGATGGTTAAAAGAGAGAGATTTACATACATAACATTAAACTTCTATGTTTTTATATATCTTATCTCCTAAATCTTTAAATAAGATCATAAATACCACTAAAACTTAATTTACATACATACCACTTTATTTCATGCTATTTACGTATCTAACACCCAAAATATTAATATTACATGTCTATCGCCCATAGAACAAATTTGGGTGCATGGAATGAAATATTAAAGTTTATAGGATGGTATAAATGGTATGATAAATTATAGAAGTGGTATATTTGATATTAAAGTTTTCTATAGGTGATAGACATGTAATATTAATATTTTAGATGTTAGATATGTAAATAGCATGAAATAAAGCCGTATGTATGTCAATTTCTCTAATTTGCATTTTGAGTAAAATGCACTTTTCCATATTTTGATTTCATTAGGATACAAAGATTTTATAGTTTTAGGTGTCAAATATATAAATACAAAGGAATTTAGTGGTATGCATCCAAATCTCAATCCAAGTTCAGAAATTGATACCTCTTTTGCATTTTTAGGAAGAGGAGCTGATCTTCTGGACATTGGTGTCCAAAGCTTGATATTTTTATCAAATCCACTGGTAGCAAGGAAAGGGAAGAAAGGGTGGGGCTCTGCAGAGTTTACAATGTGCTTGTCTCCAACCATCATTCGCAACAGTTTGCCGGTTTTTTTCATCCAGATATAGACATGGCCACAGTCTGAGCCGCTCACCACATACTCATCACAGGGTCCAAAGAAACTTACTCCTTTTACTGTTTGTGAATTTCTATGTCCAAAATACACCTGTGGTTGATCAAGGTTCTGCAATGCCTCAGCTTGGATAGTTTTTGGATGTGTAAAAATGCCCATTTCTTTCTGAAACATGTAGATTAGCTCATCATTGTAGGAAACAAGCAACTCACTCTTATTAGAATAAGCTAGCCCTGTAATATGAACGTTGGTAGAGCCAATCAGATGGCGAGGGCAGAAGTTGTTAACAGGTTGGTCTAAACCCTTTGAGACATCCCAGTGATAATTCCTGATATCATAGACACGGGCATAAGCATCAAAACCTCCAGTAGAAAACAAATTAGGATTTCTTGGATCTACTGTGATGGAATTCAATCGTATAGACTGTTTGTTCTCTGAGAATGAAGAACATGTAAGAAGTTTGATGGGAGTTTCATTTCTCAGGTCAAACTGCAATTAAATATTTATCATTTATAAAGTTGGAGCACACTTGAGCCAAATTTCAGGAGAAAAAGATAACTGGTTGAATCAAGTTTTCCTACTTGCTGAATAAGGCCATCCTCGCCACAGCTGTAAAAGATGTGTGGACTTCCAGGCTCTACGGCTAGTTGGTGAACTCGACCTCGATGTATCCCAAGCTGTCTAGTGCTGACTTGACCATCCTCCATGACTTGACCAAACCTCACCTGATTAGCAAAAGAAAAGGTTAAAATATTTCTTAATTCCTCAACCCTCAAGAAACAGAACAACTTGAGGAAAATCCTTAATACAAAAGACTTTCTAACGCGTAGCAAGAAAAACACCCTCCATAGAATAAAAAAAAAAAAAAAAAAAATCAAATGTTACTTTCATGTGCAGAATTCGACCACAAATATGGTCGGTTGGTATTCAAGATTGAGGATTGGTCTCTCAAAATTAAATCCTTAACATTGCTAAGTCACATATTGCCCATTTAAGTAATAGGGCACAAAAGATGAATTGTAGTAGCAAGCAAAGGATCTAGATGACTAAGTGGATTTTTTGTCCTTCTCTTATTAGTTCTAGTTAACCATATATAAGATTGACCGGTAGCACTTCTATTTCTAAATTTACAAGGTGAATTACAATAGTCTAGCTATTATAGCCGTGGGGATGTCGTGCAAAAGCCTTTACAAGTCATAAACTAACAGTTAGCATTTAAGTATGTAGCACTTCAATCACCTATTCTTCGCCACTTCTATGTGTTTGCGCAAGAAAAATGGCGCTTAGGCATGAACCCTGCTTTCCAAGCTTAGGATTCTATTTTCCTTAAGACATATTGATTTTTAATTAATCAGATTTTCCCCGAGGATTGTATCCGGGTTTATTTAGATACGGGTCCTTACTTTCTATGAGCGCAAGTCCTCATAATTAATTACCTCTCCTACTTCATAGGAGAGAACTCTTGATTAAGGATGAATCACTTTAGCATTGCTTAGAAATCTTAAGTTTTAGTCTCGTTTATGGGAAATGGAGGTAGACCCGATCAAGATCCCATGGTTTTGTATATGCTTAAAAAAAATGATGCATTCGCATGAATCCCGCTTTGTAAACATAGGACTACATTTCCCTAAAGTCAGATTGTAGTTAATCAGATTTTTCCTGAGGGTAGTGTCAAGATTTAATTAGATATGAGTTCTTACTCCCTATGAGCGTAAGCACTCATAGTTAATTACTCCTCTTACGCATATGTTGGCTCAAGAAAAATGACACGAATGCACGAATCCCGCTTTGCAGCCGTAGGATTCCATTTCCTTTAAATCAGATTGAAATTAACCAGATTTCCCTTGAGGGTAGTGTTAGGGTTTATAGATCTGGGGTTCTTACTTCCTATGAGCGCAAGCGCCCATAGTTAATTACCCCTCTTACTACGTAAGTGAGAACTCTCGATTAAGGATGAATAAATTTTAGATATTTTTAGTCTCAATTGTGGGAAAGATGAAGGTAAACCCGATCAAGATCCTATTGTTCCATCATCCCGGGTACATGGTTTAAAATTGCGCAATATGAGGCTCGCCTTGAGGCCCGCCTTTGCGCAATTCTAGTAAAAAACACCTCGATGCTTACGCCTTGAGTTTTTATTACGAGGCTTGCGCCTCAACTTGGTTGAGGCTCGCCTTGAGGCCCGCCTCGCCTCACTGGCATGAGGCTTACGCCTCACACTATATATATTAAAACTTACATAAATCTTGAAGTAAATGCCTGACATTGGACTCTATAGGAGAGGAGGAAGGGGACAGAGCAGTTCATCATAATAATGATTCAAATGAAGAACCCCTTAGTGATGACAGTGCTGATGATTTATAAGTTTTTAAGTGATATGGGATTGCCATTTATTTTTTGAAATTGGAATTATATGTTAATGAAAAGAATACTAGGATTTGGGAAAGACAGAATTTTGAGTTGAACTATATTTCATGTTGTCTTATTATTGAGATATTTTGATTTCACTTCATATCTTATGTTTTTTATGTTTTATATTATTCAGTTATTAGTATATAAAAAATTTATCTTTTTATGTTTACGCAATCTTTTGATTTTAATGCCTTGAGGCTTACACCTTGCCTCACGAATGAAATACGCCTCAATACCCGAATACGCAATTTTAAACATTGCCCGGGTATACCATAGATTTCAGTCTATCAACACTAACAATCATTGAACGTAGTGTCCAGGGAATATGAGTAGCAACTATGGGTAGCCTCCTCTCAGGGATCCCGAGTAAACTGAAGTGGAGATGTGTGTGAAACTGTGAATTTTAATTTAGTTTAATTTGGGTTGGGACTTATGGCTTCGTTAGAAGTTGCCCATTAATTTATTTAGTTTGGGCTTACGGCTCCAAATAGGAGTTGTCCTGATAGTGGGACTTACGGCCTCTTTTAGAGGTAGCCCGAAGAATTTTGGTTGGATAAGTCTTATTGCTTCCTTAGAAGTTGCCTAATGATGGTCTTACGACTTAGCCCTGTAAGCTAAGTGGCCCGAGTTATGGGTCTTACAACCAAGCCTTATAGACTAGGATGCCCGAAGGTTTTAAATTATTTGGGTAGGACTTATGGCTTCCCTTAGGAAGTAGCCTGAAAAGCAGGTCTTATTACTTAATTCTTTAAATTAAGATGCCCAAATGTTTGAATTTTAATTTGATTTAATATGGGTTAAGGCTTATGGCTTCCTTAGAAGTTGTCCGTTAATTTATTTAGTTTGGAGCTTACGGCTCCGATTAAGAGTTACCCGTGTGATTTGTTTAGTTTGGGGCTTATGACTCCAATTAGGAGTTGCCCGTGTGATTTGTTTAGTTTGGAGCTTACGATTCCAATTAGGAGTTGCCCATTAATTTGTTTAGTTTAGATTGTTAGGGTTGTTATATTTTGTTTTAAAAATATCCCTAACACATGGGACTTACGACTTCACTTAGAAGTGGCCCTCTAGTGGGTCTTACAACTTAACCCTATAGACTAGGATGCCCGAGTAAGGGGTCTAAGTTTGTGTCATCACCTAAACACTTCCCTCAGAGATCGGACTTACGACTTCTATTAGAAGTGGCCGGGGGTGTTTTAATTGGAGGTTAGGAATTAGGTCAATTTTACCTAAACTTCCTCCTAAGGTCGTGCTTATGGCTTTCCTATGAAAGTTGCCGGATAATGGGTCTTACAACCTAATTCTTGTAAATCAGGCTGCCCAAACATTTAAATTTGATTGTTTGGAGATTTGTTCTGAATTTGTTTGAGTTGGTTGAATTTGTGATTTTGACAATTCGGGGATTTTGGCACTTTGTTAGTGTTTTAGTCATTCTGCGCTCGTAGTCTCTTTTTCTACTACAGTAGTTCATTTCTTTACCCATTTTTTTCTTTTTTAGCATTGTTACTCTACTAGCTTTTTTCGTACTTAGTCTTTATTGTTTTATAGTATTTTGTTCCACTTACAGTAGTTAGATTTATCACTTTCCCGCATTGATTTAATTTATTTATAATGTACTGATTTTTTATTGCTTATTTGCAGGCAAGCGGTGCTTGCAACAATTTAGGGGATAGAGTCCACAAGTAATTGTAGGAGCTCGTATAGGGGAGCTTTGAAGAGCTTGCAAGGAGTTCAATTTTAAGTGGGTAGAGTTGTTTGGAGAGGTTGAGAGAGTTTGTATAAGGGATTTGGGGAGTTTGAGAGTTTTGAGAGCATGTTTATACAAGATTTTGGAGAGCAGTATATGTTGATTAGTGGATCTCTCCCCCTCCTCCCTTTTATTGCATTTTTTATTTTATAGTTGCTATAATTAGTCAATTAAAACGCTCCTGAATTTTTAAAAATTTAAATTGCTCTCGAATTTTAAAACTCTCAGAATTTAAAATTTTCAAATTTCAAACGCTCTCGAGTTTTTCTTTAAAATAATCGATGAATTAATTTCAATTAATTTTTTGATTAATTAAAAAAAATTTGATTGATAAATCAAAGATTAAAATTTTAATTGCTCCATAATAATTTTTTAAAGAGTTATGTAATTTTTCTTGAAATTTCAGCAACCTCCCGGCGTCTCCTCCCCACCGAGGGCTATGATACACGGACACGGACACGGCGACACGGACACGACACGACACGGACACGGGACACGGCTTTTTTTGAAAATATAGGACACGGGTACGGCGCGGACACGACAATATATTTTTTTATATAGTGTATATATATTAATGTAATATCATATTAAAAATGACAAATAATAATAAATGAATGACATGATAACTTGTTTAGCTTATAATATAAAATATTTAGTACAAAATATCTAGTACAACCACAAAAATATAAGCAAATAATCACTTACTACAACATCAAGCATTCAAGCTTCAACTACTAGGATTAGCTTTAGAGGTTTGTTTTTGGCCTTCAAATGCAGACGGTGATTTGGTGTTGTGGATATGAAATAAGAAATTTAGTTTAAATCTC